AAAAAAAAGAAAGAACATTTACGTCTACTATTTACAACCTGTTGTATCAAATAAATTCTCATTTCTGGATTTTTTAAAGAAATGGGACTAGTTTTGTGAAAGGAAGAATAAATCTCAATCAAGATGCAAGCAATGAGATGAAAGCTCTGGAAAAGTTTGCATTCTCGAATGCTATTGCTTTATCAGGTGGGTTTTTAAAAGGATTAAAACAAATTATGTTTTTGGTAGGAAGAGTATAAGGGGGCTTATATTTATTGGCACATGGGAGGGGGGGCTGGGAAAACCACATGAAAAGCTTTACAAACATAACCCACCCCTCCCCCGTCCATGGTAGAGGCAACTATTGCATAGCCCCCCTTTTATCATTCTCCAATAGTTCTCATTCCCCCTCAATATGTGATACCCCGCCCMCCCAAATACTTTCTCAAAATAATGTAACCCCCCCTATAATTTGGCCAAACCCCCCATGCGCTAATATAATGCACTAACCTTGGCACTAGACATCTTTTGCCATCTTTTTTCCTCTTTTTTTCTTGGGTTCTCCGGTTTTTCCTCCCTCCGTAAAAAAATCAACATATGAGTCGAGCGTTGTGTGCATAAAATAGTAAACGTAGTGGTAGTGAGTGTGAGTGAAAGCAGGCCCACATCAGCGAAAGCTGCCAAAATAATAAGCCTGCTCTAACAAATAAAATATTATTATTATTACGTCCACCAAAATTCTTTTTTTGTTGTGACAGAAATTTGCACAATCTTGCATGTGTGATCGAAAACACTGTAATTGTTGCACATGAGAATGACAACTTAGACAAAGAATTTTATTCTCAAGAAAATGAGATATAGTTTTTTTGGTATTTTTTTCATAACTATCCAATCAAAGCTGTCTGAAGAAATGAAGGAATCAAACATTTTTTTAGGTGCCATCCAATCACAAATTGACACACTTTCTATCGTAAATTTTTAAAAACTTAACGGCAACAACAACATAAAGGGATTGCACAAAAAATGTTGGAACCTCAATAAAAATCTGGCTTGTGGTTGGATGATTTGAAAAATTCTTGAAGTGCTCATGGCTTGAGCGTCCTGAATCTAAAAATGTTGATTGCGCTGTAAAAAAATTGATTTAATGGGTCATCAAAGTTACGATATTAAATTTATAAACATTTTCCTGAAAATAGTTATCGTGTTTTATTAATTGCAACATAATTATGATAAATAATATTTTCACTTTCATTTTAGTAAAGCTTGGTATTTGGGAGTCAGAACTTGAAAAGTATATTGACTCAATAGCTTGGGTTCCTGATGTAAGTGAGTTTTTGACCATAAATTTTCAAATTGTTTTATTGAAATTATTTCTTTATCTGGGCTGCCTGTGGACATGAAAACAGAGGTAACTCAGCTGGAAGTATGATAGGGAATCATGTGTACTTTCGACCACAGAGCCTTGTCATTTTTACTTCACATGTCCAGAGACTATGGGAAACCCTTGTGCATGGTCGCGGGAAATCTTGCTAATAGTCCCCTTCACAGTTCCCTACGCCATCTTGAAAGGTAGCCGTGCCGTTGATAGGGACGTGAATAATCGTTCAAGGTGTTAAAAAAGGTCTCCATCATTGCAAGCTCACCGTTCATCTCGCTTCGATGCAAAGGCACGGCTATAACCTTCGAGAGGAGCCGGAAACTGTGAAGGGGACTACTGAGACTCATTTCTTTGAAACACACAACTAGCTGATTTTTTTAACCAGGCCCGCATGACAAAACTCAAAACTTGTGCATATCTGCAATGCGGCGTTGAGCAAAAATATAAACAGAGCACAGAGAAAACCTTGCATTTGGTGAAATAACTATTAAAAAAGAGTATTTAACTTTTCACAATTAAACTATAGAACTTCACGAGCGAAAAATAAAAGGTTAAAGCTTTAAGCATAAATGTATTACATGCTTTCTATAGATATGATTTCTTGTTTGTTTTGTTTTGTTTTTTTAGGCTTTAAGCAAAGGTGTAAAGCTGAGAATGTCACGTAAGGAAATCCTAGAGAAAACTGGAGAACTGATATCGCTTCGGTAAAGCTCTTTTAAAATATACCGTTTTCTCAAAGTTGCGTGCGCATCCAAATTTAAGGAGCTCGACGGGCCACGATACCAGAACACGAGCTTTATGATGAGAATTATCATACATTTCTATTACAAAAATTTTCCGATAAGAATTCATAAAATTGATTGTTCTTCTCTTTAAATTTAAAACTGGCTTCTCAATTTTAATGAATTTGCGTGTTTCAATTAGTTGTGGCTCGTCAAGTTGGATGCGCACGCAACCTTGAGAAAACGGTCTATTGATGACCAAGAGATGTCAATCGTTGGAAAATACAATCACCTCCCCACCATCCCAAGCCTTACCCTATGTATTCTATGGTACTAGAGTGAAGTCATTTGACCCTTGAAATAGATATTAGACTAACACACTTTAGTAGACCTTAATTCCATTGTTTTCTTTTGTGTCTATTTGACTATTACACGTTGACTAATAATTTTTATTTCACGGGTTAAATGCCTTCACTCTATCGTTTTTTAAGTTACACATCAAAGGGTGAGATTGGATTGGATTATCACACCAAAAAAGCCACTAATTAAGGCTGATTGTTTGGTTGTTATAACTCTCAGCAGTAAAGATTTAGGAGGACTTTCTTTTTAGGAAAGGGAGTACCCTTTGCTTACAAATCACTGGGCTCATCTAGGCTGTGCATGTGCGCTCCCCCTGCACCCCTCCCCTAGATCTGCCCCTGAGGCAAAGATAAAAACCCTCACCCTCAGTCCCACTAGGGAATGATAAGAACAGTAGCATAAGAAACGTAGAAAGCCAAGGCTGCGATGTAATCGTGTCTAATTTTTTCATCCTAATTGTTTAGGTATAAAATTAATTTATATTCAGACCTATTGATGACTCCAGATTTTTATTGGGATCGTGAGGACCTTGGCTACTTGTATGAGAGCATGTGTTCATATATGGAAGTTAGAAGAAGAACTAAGGTACTCAATTTATCAGTAACCACTTGCTGTGTAGTTGAATTTGATTTTCAAGTTTAGGTACAGTTTAGGTAGGAACAGTTGTGCAATGAAGCACGTATGTTTTTGTTCAATGATGGCTTCCTTTGTGGATCATAAATCCTTCAACGATTTTTCTTTTCCGTTATCCCTGCACTAGGAGCAAAAAGCTCCAGCGGAATTTATGCGTTGGGTGTTTAGCCGAGTGACGTGCTGGTTCAGAAGTGTGTGAAGGATTAGAATGCTCATCGACGTAAGGGAGCACGGCAAATGCGCGCAGGCGCGCGGTTTTGAAAATTAGGTTTCCTGTGGTAAAAAAATGGTGATGACGAATGCGGTTTTTCGAAAAAATATAGTACGGGCTCAATCCAATATGGCGCTACAAGTTAAACTGTGTATATTTATACCAAAGCGCGACAGCTGCTATAACGGTCTTCCTGTGTCAAATTACGCCATCACCACAGGAACCCCAACTTTTCAAAACCGCGCGCGTACGCTCATTTGCCGTGCTCCCTTGATCGACGCGCATCCTTTTAGGCCCCGTCCACACGTATCCGTAAATTTTTGCATCCGCAAATTTTTTTTGCGGATACGGTTTGCGTCCACACGTGTCCGGAAATTTTTGTATCCGTTTCCGGAAAGTTTCGAAAACGGTCTCCAGAGTGGAAATTTTCGAATACGCTGACGTAAATACGATTTTGCGCATTCTCAATAAGAAAAACTATCCGTCAAAGGGACTAGGCACTAGCGTGCATCAGGGCGGATCAAGAAATTTCCGGATACGTGTGGACAGTGAAAACGATTCGAAAACGATTGGAATAAGCTGCGTGTGGACGCGAAGATTTTCGTATCCGCAAAAAAAAATTTGCGGATACAAAAATTTCCGGATACATGTGGACGGGGCCTAAGTGTCTCGCCAACGTATTTTTCTCAGCATGAGCAGATGTCTTTGACATTGGAGAGGTGTGTGTTTTGAACGAACCTGGACAACGTGCTTCATTGCACAACTGTTCCCTAAGGGGGTGACTTGAAAACACATGCTTTTATGAAGTTACATTCAACTAATTTACAAGGTTCGTGCTACTCCTTAAACTCCTTGAAAACTCCTTGAATTTTTGCTTTGATCATTACTTGCATGGTTCTGAAATAGATCTAGTCAGAAAGATCGGAAAATCTGAAAATCGAAAGTCTTATTGAACATGGAATGGCGTCAGCATGTGGTCCAAACTTTTCAGTGAAACCACCAGCGCAGAGCGTGGTTCCACTTGAGTTTGTATCACATGCTGAATTCTTAACCTTATGATGACCCTCCCCCCACCCCCCGCCACAAATAATAAAACCTACCTTCTCTTACTTTCCTTTTTTCAAGTATTATCAGCTAATTTAATATGTGATGTTTCTTGACGCAGGTTATGAATGAGAAACTAAATCACTGCAATGAGTTAGCGGAATTACTCAGGACACATCTTAGTGAAAAGCACTCATTTAATCTGGAGTGGGGAATCATAGTGCTCATTGCGATTGAGGTACAGTACACGTAAAACAAGTTTAGGCTCGTACGCGCGGTGCAGTTCCGTTGCTTGCACTGTTGCGGGTGACAGGGTTTTTAAGCGTGCTATTATATACCAAGTGTCAAAGTGCATTTTCTCTCTATATTCATAGAGAGTGCCACGTGGTGGTCATAATATCGTAAAACAAGTAAACCTTTTCTATTTCTGCCTCTACTTACATTGCAAACCGCTATCATGATGGTATTTTATGCTTTCGGATAAAAGCCGCCAACCCCGCCAGTCTGGCTGTGAGAAGACTTTTGACATTTTTATGACATCATATTTTTAAATCTTCAGATTGTATTCGAGATTATCCACCTGATAGAGAATCATTTTCCATTAAGCTGATAATTTCTCTCGTCTGATGAAGAATTTTAATCAAGGAACGCTAGAAAAAGGTTGTAAGAAATTAATGACACCAATGCAGAATGTTTACCACAGCAGTGATTGCACCATTTCACAGTCTGGGGGTCAAAACAAAAGGATCCCCTTTTCTTGAAAAACTTTTTTTGATCTTGATATTTTTCATTGATTTGCCGACCTCCGAATATCCGAGGAACTTAGTGCAAAAGGTAGATAGCTTGATAAAGTATACTCTAGGAAATTGGGTAGTTTTTTGCTATTAAAATTTCCCGCTACGATAGATTTCATGTTGTATTGCAGTTTCTAGCGGTTTTGGAAATTTTGAAATAATTTTTTTAACTATTGGTTGCTGCTTATTAGAACTGTTTGCTGTGAGCCATCAGGCGAGCAGCAGGACTTATCTTTACAATTGGGATCCCTGTGTGCTATATGCCAGAAAGAAACTCGATTTGTGGTTGTCGAGATGATTTTCGGAGTATGCAGTATGTTTGTTGTTTTTGTATGTTTGGTTTTCACCTACGTCATCAAAAATTTTGCAAGGATTTATATGAAACGAAACTTCCACAGGCCGAAAGAGTGGCCAAAACTATGTCTCAGCCACAATTCAAGCTAAGAGAAGTTTTAGATACGAAGATATAAGCGATTGATTATGGCAAAAATTTTAGTTGAAATGTATGGGTCCGCCATCTTGGTGTCTCATTGAGGGACACCAATATGGCGGCCAAATCACGAAGTTAAAAATAATGTATAAATGGCAAACATTTCAAATTTTCAATAACCATAATCATAGAAATAAAGTTACCAGTCATCTACTAAGTTAAAAACGTATTATTTCATTCAAATTTTCCCATTTCTAATGCTTTGAAAATGCGTGACAGAATTGCGTGACAGAATTGGACTTGCAATAAATCTAAAACCGAACATCGATAATACAAAATTATTTTGATAAGACTTTTCTTATAATGCTATAAACAAAATATTCGACAAACAGTTTTGTGGGGTGAATACTTTTAGTTTTTTGATGACGTCGTGAAAACCAAGATTGTATTTATGTGTTTGATTTATCTCAAAATTAGAGGAATATTTATGCTCTCTTTCACTTGAATTGAATAGAGAAAAACAATCAATGTCACAAAAGAAAAAGATCAGAGGAAACTGATATTACGTACCATAAATATCTTTTGATATTATCTTATACATACTATACTATGTCAACAAGCATTAGGAGGGCACAGGAAGACCAATCTTCCAAAAGTGCAACAAGTATCCACGAGTTCGCCAAAGGGCGTTTGATTATGCTTTCGAGGTGTTCGCGTTAATTAATTATTCAATGGTTAGCTATCAGGTCAGTACTAGGGTTGCCTTCGCTGGCTCGCGACAAGAAGAAGGTAAGCAACGAAGATAAATATCTTTTGAATTAGCTTGAATTGGGGATGGAAGCGGAATCAGGACTCATGAATCTTTGAGTTTAAAGTAGAGGGAACCATGAATCATGTAGATGAAATTAGGAACAAATTGACAAGGAATCATGGATCATCGATGAAAATTGGTAAGGAATCGTGAATCTTTAAAAGTGAGTGATTCCGCTTCCACCCCCGATTTTGAAGTTATGACACCCTCGGTAAACTCGTAATTTACTTATTACGCATGTTCAACAATTCATTTTTAATTTTAAATAATTTTAAATTCATTTTTAATGTTTTCTCTACAAGGAAAACAACAGGCGGCTTTGCTTAGGGCGACTAAGTGACAAAACGAAATCGCATACCGAATGAGCGTCATACAAGCTAGAAATTGAAATCACACCAAAAACACAAAAAGCTGCATAACCCGATCAAAAAAGTCACATGATATCCTCTATATCGTAATTTATAATTACCAATCCTATTCATCTTTATGCGGATACAGAATACTGTTCTATTCGTAAGTTTTTTTCCGTTTAATTTCTAGTCCAAAAACTAAGTGGCCTGGCTTGAAGCAGGGAGAGATATAACTAGACTCTCGGTTATAATCTATAAGCAGAGTTAATATCTTGACTCTGCAATAAAGTTTGGTTATGTCCTTGACCGGCAAAACATCTAAAAGAACGAAAGATTAAACCGTCTGTGCCTGAAGAACTGTGAATAATATACCTAATAAGAGTAAGTATCTTGAAGCTGCATGTAATTATGTAGGTCTTCAACATCGTGTAGTTTGAAGAAACTTCACCTCACCGATTTCGAATCATAACGGGACGAAAATTTTTTTAGTATCAACATATTTCCAGGTTTCAAAAAGATTGAAATATTGTAAGGGGCTCAAATAGTAACCTGAATTTAGGGATATTTTCCTTCGCTTTGTTCACTTTTGCATGCTTGTTCCTTGGTTATTTCGCTGACCAAAATGACCACCAATTTGGGAAACCTCAGTCGGTGAGATAAAAGTCGTCGAAGGAGAAGAAAAACAATATTGAATCGAAAAGGATAGGTAGTTTTTTGGGCTCTTTTAATTAAAAAAAAGTTAGAAATGTGATAGATTTGATCATGGAACATTTTAGGATCCGTGATTTGACGTAATATTTCAAACACGCGTGAGAGTTCTTCCTCCGATTTCCAAACRCCGAAAAATGAGTTGAAAAAACGAGGCGCAGCAACTCTCTCAAGTGTTTGAAATTACTTCTCAAACTAATGAATATTTCTTGGAGAAAATCAAAGAAAAAGTTTACGAAATTTAATGCAAATTAAGAACACATTTCCAATGCATCGTCACAGTAGTGATTTGCTTTGTTTTCTCCTCAGATTCATGAGTATGAGAGCAGTAATTATGAAAAGGTAAAGTATACACCGTGAAAAGATGAAAAAACTTACTGACGTTTCGGACGCTAGTCCTTCGTGAGAGCGGAATGGTTGAAAAACTTATTGTTCAAAGTTTTTGTTCGACTTTATCCATTGTTTGTTATATAACGCTGACCGTGTACAGATATAGAAAAGTTGTTTGGTTTGTTCGCAGTATTAGGGAATATAGAAGTTTTCCCCCCTAAAAAACCTTCTAAACAGTATATAYATAATACGATAATTTTTGGCTGTAATTAACGCCAAGGCATGGTTATGTATTGTGAAAATTGCAATTATAACAAAATACAGAAACATGCCTTGGCGTTAATTACAACCTAAAATATTGTATTCTGTATATACTGTTCTTTCGGAAAATCCAGTGTTATTTACTGTATTCAGTTTGCTAACCCATATTAGTATAAATACACAGGTAATTATTGAAAATCTCGCGCGCTGATTGCTCGAGAAACTCACGTTATCACAAGACGACAATCGCCTCCAGCGATAATCCAAAATGGTGGTCAGCCTCAGTGAATATCGGAGAATATTTACCTCGCCGCTCGAAGAGTCGCGTCTTGGTGAATGATTCCCCGATATTCATTGCGCCTTCGGCGAATAATTGTTAAATATTCGTGATTGGTGTCAATTAAAACGTTTTTTTCGTTGACATTTTTCGAATAATTCAATCAGAAGCCAGATTCTTACAGAGGTTCCAGCATTTTTTCGTGAAATTTCAGAGTCTCTTATGTTGTGGTTGCCGTTAAAGTTTTTTTAAATATAAAATATACATCTGTAAAGTGTATCAATTATTTCATAACAGCTACTCAACGGGCAGCTACTTCGTCAATGAACGATAATTTTGTTTTATTTCTGTAAATTATTGAAAGTTTGTACTTTGAGCGACAGTCTAGCAGTTCATTTAGTTCACAAGGAGTGATCTAAAGAAACATCTATAGATTTTCCGCCGTCTGTTGGTTTGCTTCCTTTGTTTCTAAAGAGAGCTGTGATTTGGAAGCCTTGAAGTTTTCATGGTTCGAGTGTCCGCACAGTAGCATCAAAATGCTTCATTAACGTAAATACACGCTATTATTATACGACTATTACGTAATTTTACCTTATAAGGTCAAGAGAACTCGCAAAATATGGCACCGTATTATGCTAGT